TTTGTTTACAAATAATATGTCAATTGCCAATGTGACCTCTGAATAGAGTTGCTGGATGTGGTCTGGAATTGGTCCCACCTCGGTCCTTACGTGGCTGTCATTGCGGGAAGTGGTTTTTCCTTTCAGCAATCCGAGATTAGGTCCATAAATGTTGTGGGCCACTCTGATGTCTTCTGCTGTCACAGGACAGTCACGGAGCAGATTTTTGTTCACGATATCAGTGAATCGTCTATCTCCTGGTCGGCCGATGATGTTTTAAATGTGTTGAGCCTGCGCCGCTCGCATTACAGCCGCTTTGGTGTGCTTGGCTTTCTGCTCTTTCACAGTTTCCAGGAACGTCCATGACGTCTTGCAGTAGTCATCGAGGTCAATGTGATACAATCCCTTGTCGGTTGGGAGGAATTCGACTTTCTTGGTGCCGCCAAAGTCCACCACGAATTGGTCTGCTCCCCTGTTGTCATACACAACGTGGTAGTGCTTGTTGACATCATGGAATGATAGGATGTTGGCAATCCCATCGGGGTTGAACCATACTGGATCCGGATAATCCCCAAAATATCCCTTCATGTTCAATTGTACCACCCCTGCATTGCATCGGACCTTCAGTCCATGTTTGACCTTGTGAATGTTTTGTAGTAGTGATCGATTGCAAAAGATGTTTGCTGTAGACCCAGTGTCCAGAACGATCCATGTTACCGGTAGGCCTGATTGCGGGTGGCGCTTCAGAATGAGTTTCACATACAACTTGTTGTTGGAATGGAGGAAGAGGTGCTCAGTGGTGGAAACGTCTTCATCGACTGCTATGGAGTCAGTATTGACTGGGTTGGTTGAATCGCTAGGTTCCTCAGTGGTCAGATACTCGTCAACTTCATCGTTATTGTTATTGTTGGATGTGTCAGTGATGTGAGTTTCGTGTTGTTCGTGGTTTCTATTTGGACGTCGCTCAAAATCTCGCCCACGACCACCGCGCCCGCTGCTTCCGCGCCCGCCATTCCGACCGCCGCCGCTTCTTCCGTTGGGACCGCCGCCGCGACCGCCCGCCCCGCTCTCAGTGGATGGTTGGCCGTCGGCAAGGAATGACGCACCGATTTCCGAGCTGCGGATGCTTGAATGATACAAGGTAACAAGTGGCCTGCTGTTGTTGAGCAATTCGATAGCTCCTGACATGGTGGTGGGAAACGTGTCGCTTCCGCTGAACAGTCTTGCATGGTTGGCCTGGGCAATAAGGCCCCCATACCGCTTTCTGTCGGCTCCGAGGAGAAAAGCCATTCTTGCCATCTCCTTCTCCACAATCTTCTCTTCTACCGCTCTCAGTTCAGCCAGTGTTGGGTCCGATTTGCCGGTCTCTTGGATGAGCCTGGATAGGGAGGCTCCCATGGGGCAGTCGCAGAATCTGGCCGTATTGGAAAGCTGCATGAAGACTTGGAGGTATTCTGCATTGGTCTGGTTTTCCTTCTGCTTGCAGGTGTAAGCCTTTCTTTGAGCTTCGACACCCATCATGGTTGGGTCAACGTTGGTGGATCCGCCTGTGGCCGCCACGATCTGGAAGACCTTGAGCATATCCATTGAGCTGTTGTTCGCAATGACCGTGCTCCACTTTGGATGGCTTTCAGCAGCGCTCAGGAATGCTGCGGAGCAGTGTCGTTTCAACATTGCGCAAAGAGCTGCTTCATTTGCCTTGCACACAGACTTCTCCGCCTCATACTTTTTGTCCTTCTTTAAGTAATCATGTTCTTCCTGTTTGTTGTCCCAATCCGGAAGGTTTGGTGCAACCAAAGGAGGCAGAGAGAATGGGTCTTTGGCGGTTGAAGTTGATTCTCCCACCATCAGGTAATCGGAAGCATCCTTTCGGTTTGACACGAAGTAAGCAATGTGGGCCTTCACGACTTGGAGGAATGGGGGCACTCTTGGATCCACGTTTGGGAGCTCATAGTAATATCCCTTGAGCTCTGGTTCCACAGTTGAAGGGGGCTTGGATTGAGATGCAGCTCCAAACTTGGTGTTGTTCTTTTGCTTGCCTCGCCGATTCCTGTTTCTTGGCCGGATTTGGTCAGACCCGCTGTGGGCAGGGTCTGGGGGCGACTCGCCTTGGCCGTCGCTTTCAGTTGGCATTTTGTTTTCTGAAAACGTTGAGGCAACGCCAGAAATGCCGATCGACAGCACCTATGAAGTGACTGTCCCGTCTAACTAATAGAACAGATAGATCCGCACCGCAGGTGTGCTGTAAATCACTTTAGTCTTTTAGAATTTTCAGAAAACAATGAGGATTGCAAAACGCTTTGCAATTGCACTGTATTCTGAACATTCGCTTTCTACTTGTTCTAAAGATTCTCGTTGTCGTAAGCTAATACGTCCACGAGTACCAGTCATACTCCGACCAATACATTCCAACCAATATGCCGTGGGACATGTAATTGTAATAAACGTGATTGGCGTTTGTGACTGGTGAGTCACTAATGGCAAATCAGCTTTGCTCCAACGGCTGGTCCCTCATGGAGCCTTCCTACACCCACAACAAAGGCTACTTGCTGAAATGCTTGATCAACTTTTGATGCCAAAGTAGGAAAGCAAGCACGCGCCAACAAGGGAATCATTGATACAAGCGACAATTGAGAAGTCAGCAACCGGTACGACAACTCACCAGGCAGTTGTTACATTGATACGAACCATAGACGATCATTAATTCCTCCCGCAGCCACACAACTATGAGTATTCCTTGATAAGGTGATGAAAGAGGTTGAGAGCAATGTCATCTGGAGACGCCGCAACAAAGACCATCATGTGACGTTTTCGTCACCTTTTGACATCCTCTGGACTTGGTGGTTAGCACCTCAGCGACATGTCAATACAACATCAGCGCCTTCTCCTTTCAAAGTTTCACACTTTATACAAGAACAAGTGAGACAGACGCAGGTTCCCTCAATGATCATTCCGTTTCTGGAGGTTCCACCAATACAGGTGGGTGGTTTTTGCGGGAGAAGCGCTCATGCCGAATCCACAGGCGCAGCACTAGTGATGGATGCTTTTTCGTCACCACTTGTTGCTATGTTGGATTTTCATCGGTGGAACTGTCGCCTGTCCTGTCATCTTTCTGAGGGGCATTTCGCAGCTGTTGTGGTGCTGGTGCTGGCACTGTTGTGGTACTGGTGGCTTGCATGCATCGGGGTGTTTATGGGCAAGCTTACCATTGAAAGGATGTCGATGCGAACAATAGCATCACCGTTCCCCGATTTAAAAACTTGCAATAGTCAATAGGCATACTCGTAGGTATATTAATACAGCGAATGGCATTCAACAGAGCGTGTAAAGCAAAACATGATAACAACTAGACAAGATGCCTCGAATGAGGTCAACTCGACAGATCAAATGTACTGTTTTATCTTTTCTATTGCTATTGTTCGTGTCGTTTGTGCAAAAGTGATCCGTGGAAGCTACGCAGGGATCAGCAGCTGTACCCACTCTGCACTGAAAAGAAGAACAATTGGGACAGCAAGGTTGTCCATGTTGGCAGGAGATGTGGCTTCAGCAACTGCTGCAATTGCACTGTACGCAAGGATCATTCTTAGTGGAAGCAGTTGCATGCCCATCATATACGAGTAGAAATAACACCCCATAATTGTGCCCAAGAAGACTCCCACAATGCTACCTTCCATCGTCTTGCTCTGACCAAAAGGCATCTGGAATAAATGGCGTCCGTAACGTGATCCGATTAGAGGGGCAAGACTATCTCCAAGGAACGCAGCTGGAACAATTGCACACTCAGGTTTCACTGGAGAAGTAGTGGATTCATGACTATGTGTAAGATTTTTTTTTTGCAACACGAAACAGGAATTATACCTTACAGAATTGGTAAATACCAAGATAACACATGACGAGGGGCAGGAAAGATGCCCCAAATAATAGGTCCCCAGGAGAATTGGAAAGTGACATATTCGCTACATCGGCATCGACAGGATCTCTGACAATCCCCCCCTTGTAGATCATTCGCACCCCTACAACCGCAGGGACGAGAGCATTCAACCTCCAGCTCCAATCTGATTCATCAAAATATGGCCAAAATATCACTCCCGAGGACAAAAGGATGTGTAATAGCGGTCTTGAGATGCCTCGGTTCAGACGCAGGCGAGTCCAGCATGCAAGCTGAAAGCCGTGCGGGTATCTTTAGAAAACACAATTTCAGGACGCACCACCATTCGAAAGAAATGCGGTCTCACCTCAATACATAATTTGAAGGAAAGAATCATAAATAAACAGACAATGGCATTGTTGTGAAGAGGGGATAGATGGCTTTCCATTTCCCTTGCCTATGATACTTTGTTACATTCTGCATTTTCCGCGCTCCTCTTTTGAGTGAGTAGGTTGACTCATCTGACTACTCGATCAATACTGCACCACGAGTGGCTCTTGCCCATCACGCAAAAAACGTAGTGGCGCGCCTGCCAAGACATTCCTGTGCGAGCTGGTCAAGCCTCCTTCAAATCGAACGGGTCGTGTTGGACACATGATGGTGCCACCCGCAATGTTCGAACACTCCAACATTTAACAGCGAATTGAAAAATTCGCGGCTATTTAACCGCGAATTGACTTCATTCGCCGTTGTGATAACCGCGAATTGAAAAAGCGCCGTTGCTTTAACCGCGAATTCATAATATTCTAAAACTTCATCAACAAAACCAAACAAATCCATCAATGGTGTTTGTGGAGCCTGAGACGCCCTGGAAGATCAGCAGGGCAAAACAAATCATCCAGGAACTACCGGGGATCTGTCGCCCGATAGAGAAGCCGTAGATGATGAAGGAAAGAAGTAGACGATGAAGGGAACAACATGATTCCAAAAGTCATCTGAAAATGATTTGCGAAATGGGCGAGGAGTCTACCAGGTACAGGTACGAAGGGAGATCGGAAAAGTGGGATCCCAAGAAACTTGCTACCAGGCTCAGAAGTTTTAAAAAGGCGAACAATATCTTGGAGCATAAGATGGGACGAAAAATCAGCAGGGCAAAAGAAATTCTATGGGATCTCTTGCACACCGCTGCTCCTGGAGTCGCCCATTCCACTCGATGGGGAAATGTTGACTCCAAAAGTCATCTTGAAGAAGGTGTGTGACATGAGCGGCGAGAAAAATAGGAAGTGGAACAAGGTGATTTCGAATATTTTGCTGATAGACTGAGAGCGCTGCAGAAGCAAGAAAACCAGAAGATCAGCAGAGGAGTCGTCGAGGACCACTAGGCTCATGTCAAACAGTTCGTCGACAACCATCCAGTAACATCCTTTCAAAGCTACTACAAAATATTCATTGACAACGATCGGATGCCCAGAAGCTTCTGCGTCAAGCTATGGACGAGGATGGAAAAGATAAGCCTCCTGTAAGATAACAAGATCTATGGCGTTCTTAACGAAAACAGTATTGCAAGGAGTTTTCTTTGAATGTTTTCAGGGAATGCAACTACCAGGAGAATAGAACAGGAAAGTACTTGCACGCTCTCAAAGTCAAGGGGTAGAATCATAGATCTATAACGTAGTATTGATGCTAAAGGAGACTATTTACACTTGTATTTTCACTATTGGAACAGCTGCTTTTCCTCTCTCTAGAGACTCTCAAGAGGACAGCTTTCCCAATCCAAACATAGGAAGAAACCCTGTGATTGAGGAACAAAACATTCTATTGCATGGTATTGTTGTATGGAGGAAGAAATGAGAGTGATTCTACATAACTCAATTCGCGGTTCAATTAACCGCGAATTTAGAATTCGCTACTAAATAACCGCGAATTGAAAAATTCGCTGTTAAATTTACCGCGATTTTAGAATTCGCTGTTAAATTTACCGCGAATTTTTCAATTCGCGGTTAATTAACCGCGAATTGTCGTTGAAAGATTTTCTTAATCCGTAACGCCCGCTTCGCGCGGGCTGTTCGGTTTCATGATATGGTTGCCTCCGTGACACGTACTGGCTGGCGATCGAAGAAGTATTCGGCTGGCGCGTACTGACATTTTTACGTGATGGGCCTTACATTATGCAGGTGCAATTTTTAGTGGGTTTTCAGCCAATGAGAGTTGTCAAATCACTAAAAATCAACCCCCTTTTTTTAGCACTAAAAATAGACAATCTCCACTAAGTTAGTACTCGTCATTACTTGCAAATGATGATTATAGGGGGATGGTACCTGGTACCATAGGCCCAGGCTAGATACGGCCCTGCCAGTCTGCCATTGTATTATAAAGCACTGTCGCACCTTGTTTTAACGACTCACCTTACCACTGGATTACGAGCTAGCGATAAGTTACCCTATGATCACTTCTAGCTGCTCTGAAGAACCGGTGGCAGCCACCAAACCGAATTGACAAGCGCTACAGCATGAGGTGACGGATACGCCCATCGGTAGAAACTTCGTTTTCAATCTTCTATTTATATTATAGATTAATTTCTATCGTTTCAGTGTCACTTATGGTAGCATGCCCCTGTAAGAAACTGATAACAACTGCCATAGTTGCTAGTAGTAGGTGTCACTTCACCTTTGGAATCTAATCATTGTCTCAATTCCGTGCACCAAGGCCTTGTTGATTGTTTTCTCGTCAGAATAAACCCATACCCTGTGACCATACAGTAGTAAACTGTCGTAGCGCGGCCTTATGGTGGCAACTTGGCCATCAAGGAACCCAGCAAGAGTTTGCCTCTGTTTTCGCCTTCGCATCTTACTCAAAAAACGGTTGATTATTGCATTTCTTCAATCATGTAATACACATGTAGTCTCTTTGGCGGCGAGCTTGAGCATGGATTTGGTCCTTCCTCACCTTGCTTGATTCCCAAAATATTGAGTCCATTGACGACGCAAAATCTGACTACCATCATCAATGACGTCAACTTCTACCCTGCATATCTTGAATGTTCGTGACCTCAAATTCAGAGTGCGATAAATCTCCGATTTTTTATTGGATCTGCGATATGAAGGCACAGATGATGTTATTAGAGGGGCTGGAACGTCATTTCAAAAGTTTCAGAGGCATCGGTCGACATACATCAAACAATCATTGTTACCGTGTTCAAAATCCGTCAAAATCCTGGCTAGAACCAGGATCATAGAGTATATATTCTTGCGACGGTATGCATGAGGCCAGTGCTGTGTTGTAAAGACACTTTATTGCAATCCTGTTGCTTTCTCCTCTCCTCTTAACTTCTCTTTCCTTTTTCTTCCTCTTCCCCCTTCTTTTTCCCCGGGGGATCTCTAGCTAGTATAAATAGTTGCACCAGCATACAATAAATCTAGATTTGTAGTGGCTATTAATAACATCGTTGACACAAGAGAAATACCTCAGTCATGACTCGAAAAAGCAAGCAAGCGGGGGGGAATATGCCTCTCACTTCAGTCGAGATGAAGAAGTATTCTGTGGGATATGGAACAACAACTGCTCGTTTGAATGCAATCTCCCAATACACCTTTGGCGATTGTGCTTTGTCATTGCATTTAGCTGATGATCATCCCGTGGCCACACCTTCTGGTTACATTTACGAGAAAGCGGCCATTCTGGAATATCTTCTGACTAAAACCCAACAACTCAAGAAAGAAAAGAGAGAATACGAAGCGTGGCTTCGAAAGTGTCAAACGGAAGAAAATGAAAAGGACGAGAGAAAGAGAAAAGCACAAGTTGTAGCGTTTGAAGAGGGTCAAAAAGTTGTAACCGAAAAGAAGCAGAGAGTAGACGATAACCCTCTGAAGCGAACGAGTTACTGGCTTGCAGAATTTCAGCCCGAAGCAGCCATTGCTAGCAATTCATTCAATATCCCTCCGAAAAGACCTCCTTCTCCGAACAGTCAACAACCTTTATGCAACAAAGATCTTATTGCTCTTAATTTGATACGGGACACTGGCACCCATGTAATCTGTGCAGTTTCGGAAAGGCCCATAACCACACAACCAGCAATCGCACTCGTGACAAAAAAAGGAGCTTTGGCCGAAGTTGTATTGGAACAAGTATTCAATGATCTGGGAAAGGAGAAACTATGTCCCGTAACTGGTAGGAAAATCTCGAAAATTCTTCAATTGCGAAAAGGAGGATCATCATTTGCAGCCTCTGGTGGCTCAATAGAAGCCAAAACATATCGACCAAGCATGACATAGGCCAATGCTTCAGTTGATCGAAATATGAATCAATTTATGTATGCTGTTGGTAAGATTGCGCTTGTAAGTACTCCTGTACAATAAGAACTACATACAGATTTCACCTAGTCCGAAACAGCCATTTGTAGGCACAAGTCGAAAGCTAGATCGTAGCTATAAAGCTTTGGAGGCGAACAAAAAAACTCTAAACTCCTGATAAATTGTGACTGCATGCATACTCATCGCTCCTATTGACAAGCAGTTATAACAAGAAATGAAGAAGATGTTGTGATTAGTGTCTATTTGCATGCTATAGTGGAGGACATTTAGCTCAGAACATCACTTTTGCGGCTTAGACATTGGTCCTGAGAAATAGATCGCCCTCCCTGAAGCTTTCCTCCAATATCCACTGGCTGGTGCTGTGAATTGGCAAAGTGCCAGACGTTGCCATAAAAATGTCCAACTATTCGAAGTCACATTTGTCAAACCATTCTCGAACGACCCGGTAAGAGCGACCAAAATGTTGCCGGCCGGCCACGCGCCTGCCAGGCTGGCTGATCGGCTGACTCCTAGCCGACTCCTTTGACTAGCCCTAAGCATTGGCGCCAAAAGGACTTGGCGCTCCGCAAATCATCAAAGTAACTGGAGTGAAATAAACATGGTGCGCCAAGCTTCCCTTTGACGGTCTTGTAGATTATGATGGTGAATCTGCTGATTTGTTCTCGTTTGTCACCAACGCCATTGAAACAAGAGCTGCAAAATTTGATCCAAAGCAACCGACCAAAAGAGGTCTGAAAGATTTGCTTCACCATTTGAAAGTGATTGGTCTCAAGCACAGAAGCAAATTCATATGACGTCTCAAAAGACTGGTTAGCTTGTTATAGATCAAAGCCATACCATGGGACAAAACTACATGTTAGAATAAAGCAAAATGTGCTCTATCGTGAGTGCCTTTAGCGCTCAGAACAAACTCTCTGCAATCTAAATTCGTAATCGACTGTACAACACTTTCACGACAATAGTTCTCCTGTGTTAGGTATACTTTGAGTGAAATTGTTCCTATTTGATTA